AATATTTGAAACAAATGACCAGTCTCTCTTCCTTGAAGCTCCATCTCTTCACCACCAGGACATGACCCTCTACTCTCCAGGTCATTCTTTCCTCCTCTGTAGCTGCTCCGTCCCAGTCTTCTTGCTGTTTCCACTTCATCTCCCTGACACCAAAAGCTAAAAGTTTCCAGGGCTTGTGGAACCACAAGAAGACATGGGAACTGTCAGGCATACAGTGTGAGCGAATCAAAGCTTGACAAGTACAAAGAATTTCATCCTAGTAATCACTGAGAAGGTGAGCTGCATAGAAAAGTGACTTCTGGTGACTAAGAAAGACCCTTTCTCACCAGGTAAATATCCCACTTGAATTTTTAGAATGATCACTTGCATTGAATTGATGGGAAGATATCTTCACTGGAGACAGGTTTGCATGTGGAAATATCATCATTTGTCACAACAGGTTTTCTAAGTCTTGGCCATTGGCTGGTTCCACAATCTTGATCTCCATGGGGCTTAGTGGTGGGTCTCCTAGCCTCTTCTACAGTGTGTAAATCAGGGACTGTCCAGGATCTACCACAGTGGGATTAATATTCACATAAGAAACCAGAGTTTAGCCTATCCAGTATTACAATATGCTTTTGTTGGGTTTTGTTTTTTAAAAACTGTGGTGACTTCTATTGTCTGGGCAATCTGAGCGATAGACCTGACTTTAACTGTGGCTGGCTTCCAGGATTCAGATGATAGCAGCTCTCTCTGCTTGGCTTTTTTTGTTTTGGTTTGGTTTGATTTGGTTTTGGTTTTGGCTTTTTTGTTGCTGTGATTGTTCATTTTATTCTGCTTAGTTTTAGTTCTCATGCTTATGAAGACAGAAACTATGATGTCCATTTTGCAGGGGAGAACACTGAGGCCCGCAGAGATCAGGCCATTTTCTTTCTGAGGAGGATCACCCTGCCCCATGAAGCCCCCTTATTCTGGCTTTGCTTCCCCCTGAATGTTCCCTGCCTTGGTTAGAACGCCCTCTGCTGCTCACTTAGAGGGTTACAGGGGTCCTTGCACAGATCTGCTTCAATCTATCATCATTGACCCCTACATGCTTCCTGACACCTGCTGCAACTCTGTCACTCAGACTAACCTATCCCAAAATTTACAATCTCACTAAATAGGACTGATAACTACAGGACATAATTATTATTAACGATACTTTTAACAATTTTATCACTACTGTTAATGTCATCATTATTATTTCTTCATTCCACTCCCATCTTCTCTGGAAGCTGACTGGGGCTCCTGTCCCTCTCCCTTCACCATCCAATTCTGGCTCCTACCCTCAGGAGTTTGCATACCAGCCTCAGGGTTGCTACGTCACACGCCTGCATGGCTCCCCCTGGTGGTGTGATGCATTTAGGGTGATAGGGTTCACCCAGACATGGGGGGTCACAAAGAGTAGTGGAGGTAGAGGCTCTGTACACTTCCTCGAAGATTACAGGGTAATATTTTGTGTGGTCTCCGGGCCTGATGAGCAAGGAGGAGTGGCTATTCATCAGTGTCCACTCTGGCTGCACCAGGAAAATCTTTGCCCTGGAAGGGACTGTGATGTTTGCTCTCTTGATAAGTCTGCAATGACTTGTCATAAAACTTTATCTATAAAAGAGATGCTCCATGGTGGTGCAGTCAAGTAGATCCAATCAGATGCTCTCTATGGCAGTTTTCTGGTTTTCTCTCAGCATCCATCCCCCCTCCTTCCCGAGCGATAATAACCTTAGGGACACAAAAACCCAGCTAAGAAGGACTTTATAGTCTACCTTCTCTACCTTCCCCTGCAGTTAAATGTGGCCCCATGATTATGTTTTGAACAATGAGCTACAAGCATAACTGTTGTGAGCCATGTTGTGTCCTTCATTCAAGGGAATCTTTCCCTGGAGTCATTATAAATCAAAGAGGGAGGCAGAAGAGGAGAGTTAGTGTCAGAGAAGGAAAAGTGATGAAGCTGGAGTGAGGGAATTTGGTAGTAAAGTCAGGGGCACAGCTAAGGAGCACAAGCAGCCCTAGAAGCTGAGAGAGATGAGGAAATGGGTTCTCCCCTAGGACCTTCAAAAGGAGCAAACACTCCACCATCTTGGTTTTAGGCCCAGAAGATTATTTCATACTTCTAGTATCTGGAGGGAAAAGATAAGTTGTGTTGCTTTAAGTCACTGGCATGGGGGTGAGTTGTTACAGCAGCAATAGGAAACTAATACAGGTGTTTAGAAGAACTTTCACATAAGAGACATAGGTTAGATTTGTGAATATAGTTTAAAATATGAAATTGAACTAGCTGTTTGCAATTTGTGGATT